TGATACAGTACTTGCAGATAACCTGCACATAATTTAGATCACCTCTCGATGGCCCAAGGCAGTGCAAAGGCTGTGGAATCCTGTTACCCTGTTTTGTGTAGGAAACAGTGTTCAGTACGGACGGAACGCGTCCCCTGATATTTTCCATCTGTGGTTAATGGGATCCAAAGATGCAGAAGCCAGGCATGCGAAGTGAGTGAGAAGGGAGACCGCTAAAGGCGAGACTCACTGATGTGAAACTGAGGCAGCCAGTAGAGAAGAGTAAGGAGCACAGACTCTGGGGAAAGGTAAGCCTGGCTCAGAAGTTGTCTGCAACTTATCAGTCATGTGACCTGTGGCAAGTTGCTTAACCTCTCTGAACCTCGGCTGCTTCATCTCTAAAAAGACAATAAATCCCACTTCTCAGGGTTTTGTGATGATTAAACTAATTGAGGGACCTTAGCAGAGCCTCGTCTTCAAAGATGGTGCTATGTTTCTTGGTGAGACAGCACCCTGTTAGGCGTGAATCTTAGAGATTATGGATATTTATTTATATTCAGTTATTATGATACCCCATTACAGAAATTTAAACATTGTTTGGCTGAGCACAGATCCAGTACTGAGATAACTAAAATCTACTACTCAGAAGATAGTTTTTGACGTAGCAGAGGAGAGGTATCAATGCATTTTTAAACCTACTGACCGCATGACATTCTTTGTAACAATTAACCACAGTTCCCATCCATTGAATCACTTAAAATTTATAGCCTTTCTTAGTCCCTGGTGACTTAATTATCAAACAAGCAATAATAATAATAATAATAATAAAGCAAGTAATTAAGCTTTTTTAATGGCTCGATCAGTAATGCTGGTTCTTCTTAGAAAAGTGTGACCAGTGTCACGTTAGACATGACATTTAAGTACGGCACAAGAATGTTACCATTCCCTTTACACACATGCTCCACTCCAGCATGAGGAACTTAAAGAGCAACCTAAGAAGGAAATCCACACAAGCATTGACCACCATAGCAGAGAGACCTACCGAGAAGACCCTGGAGCTGGAAACGCTCTCCCCCGGTCACCAGCTGGTAGCAGGCTGGCTACGGCCCCCTCAGCCTTTTATAGCACCTGGCTGCTGACTGAGCCCAACTGTCCCTGCCTTCCTTGAAAAACATAATATGACTGATCACAGGGTAATTGTAGCGAGTTGGCATGATTACCTCCCTTCACAGAAATTTTAAGGAGCAGGAGGACAAAGTTTCTGGGCTTTAAAAAGGAAGCAATACGGTCTTGTTTATGATTCATGCCATAATCTGTTCCGTGAAAGAGGCATTATCTCGGTAAAAGTGTTGGAATGTAATCCACCAGGGCCATGAATGGAAACTGGACCCTCTGAGGCCTGCACCTGCTCAGGATGCAGAGGGCCCCCGGGCACCCCGATTTTCCTGTTACCTCACGAAGGATGAGACATTTGATAATGCCCCCTTGCGGTGACTCCCGCCTCTCCCGGGAAGTCACTTTTTCATTTGTGTGGCAAAGGAGACCCACTGTGATTCTGTTACAAGTTGTGGCCTATTCCACTTCCCTTGGGATCCCTCTAGAAAGAAAGCAGAGGGTACCATGGGTAAGCCGTGGCCTTGCGAAGTGCACCCTCTGTGACTCCTGGTAGAAGTAGGTGAAAGCCAGCACCAGGAAGCCCCAGAAAGGACGCACTATCCTACCGCCCCAGGGCACAGAGGAGCCAGTAGCACAGCTCTGGCTAAGGCCCACGCAGCTTAGGTACAAGTAACTACAGGAGCCTGCTTTTGTTTTTTAAAGAAACTTCTGGGGAAAGTCCACACCCTCCAATCCACCGAAATAAAAGCAGAAGCTTAAGTTTTGGAACATGAGTGACCCACAAGCATCCAGTGAGCAGTTCAGCCCTGTGGCAGTGGCTGGGAAACTTGGCCTTGTTTCTGGGAAGGCCGCCCTGGTGCTCAGCAGCCTCTGCTTCAACCTGTCTTTCAGTGGGGCAGGGAACCAAGCTTGGGATGAGCTGGGTCCAACATTCCCTTGCTGAGAGGCTTGGGCCCAGGCCTGGACACCTTGACCAGGGCACTGATAATGCCTCTGACCAGGCTTTGTGGACACAGGAGGCCTCAGGCCTCTGTGCATGTGTTGTGCATAGCATCTCATGTGGAAAAGAGCCCTGAGCGTCATCCAGACCATGGGACCGTTGTTCCCTCTCTTCTCTTCCCTCCCTCTGATGCCCTCCACCCTCAGAAGGGTTTACTACCTGGTCACTCACTCCGTCGGCAAGTCAGGAGTCGCCTTCAGAACAGGTGGCAGGTCCTCGGTCCCCTTCACCCACCTGGCTACATTGGACTCTGCTAGTGCCTGAAAGAGAGGGGAACTCGTGTCGTTCACAGGTGGCCACTCAGTGTACCCAGAGACACTGTTCCCTGAGGATTCCCTCAGGGCTCTGGCTGGGGCATTTACTGCGCCGGATCAATCATCTGGCACCGTGCCCAGACCCAGGAAGAAACTCAAGGAAAGTTCCAAGCATTAAAGTAAAGCCACCCCACCACGGCCCTCACCACAGAGCCCCCCGGGACCTGGAGGGAGCTCGTGGGCAAACAGGCTGGAAAGAGAGGGTTACCCCACCCCCAGCCGGGCCCAGGGAGCCCAGCAGCAGCAGCAGCAACAGCGCAAGGGGGCAGGAAGGGGAAACGCAGAGGAAGTAAACAGAGAGCGCTGCGAGGGAAGAGTCTAGAATAGTTTTACCGCCTGTGGGAATGCATTACTACTGTTGAGTCATCGCAGTCACCCTGCGTTGGAGTGGAGAGACTGTCAGACCCATCCCATCTGACACACACCTCATGGAGGAGCGGGCTGAGCCCGGCTGTGTGCAGGGACTGTGCTTGACCCCAGGGCTCGGCACTTGCAGAAGGAAGGGACCCCGCAGGATTTGGAAGTCAAGCTGGGGTCTCTCAGCCTGCATGGAATTCCCCCAGCCTTCCAGGCCTCCAGTGTAATATGTTTTAAATCCAAGAGGTTCTTTGCATGCCATTTTTCTGAAATATTTCTTCATTCATCCATCTGTCTGTCTGTCTATCATCTATCATCTTCCTATCTGTTTCCACATAGAACATGTAATATCTCTCACATACCAATCTGTTAGCTATCATTTAGATCCATCTCCGTTTATCACCTACTACCTTTTGGTCTCTGCTGTCAGCTATTGATTACCCATCATCTATCACTGGTCAAACAACCTATTTATGCTTGCATCCTCTATCTTCCTGTCATCGGTTCTACCTCCCTGCCCATCACCTACCATCCATCCCTTGGTCTGTCCCTCTGTCCATCCCACTCTTTTTCACCTGGGTCACAAAGCCAGGTACATGTACACTTCCTACTTATTTCCTGGTTCACTGTTTACTTGGAGTCATTAGTGTTTTATAGCATATTGCCAATTCTCAAACGGGCAGCCTCTGGCAGGTCAGATCCCAGCATGGCCATGGCTCATGTGACATTCTTCCCTGTTCTGATGAGACCCAGAATCTCCTTTGCACTCACCATCCGCTTCATGGTATTTACACTTTCCTAACCCTTAATGCATAGAGCATCATTCTTTAGGGCCTTGCTTTCAAGAAAGTTACCTCTTTGTCGATCTGCTTATGTCATATAATTTCACGCTATTGCCTTAGCTTTTCTCCCTCTAAGTGATTCAGCAAATTCACCTGGTTTAACTTCCAAAATGTTATGAGGCATGAACAGTTTCCCAAAAGATCATCACAGGCAGAATGATAAAAGGACATTTTCTTCTAATTCTCCCTCACTTATTTCTCTAGATAAGTAATATTTTCTCCAAAACAAGCGGTTTTCTTTCGACTCTGGAAACAGTATTCATTTTTCCACCCTTTGTTCTGCTGTTTTGGCTTGTGGGTTGGGACTGTCATTCTCAGATTGGCGATATCTTTATTGGCGTCCTTGAAACTATTGGGGAGATCAGTTTTGCCCCTTCCTGTCTTAAAGCATTAAAAGTCACAGGGTGAGGTCACAGGGTGCTGGTGCTGCTTATGCAATGCGGCGTCTGTCCTTTGGAGATAAAGGAAACAAGCACATTTTTGAAATGGAGCCAAGCAGTAGGCACATAGAAAAGGTACCTCATGACACAGAGCATGTTAGAAGAGCCACACTTCCAGGGGTGGGGACAAAACAATGGGCACTGGGAAATGGAAAAGGAGTTCCCATGACATCGTCAGGAAAGAAAAAAATCCTACCAAGAAGAGAAGCTCTTGTCAAAACAGAGGATCAAAGAAAGCAGCCTCCAGAAAGAAATGATCCTGGAGTGGCCAGAGAAAAATGGACCACGTAGAAGGAATCAGTGAATGAGACACAGGAACAGAGTCCAAATAGAACCAGCTGTGGTCCAGCATGGGGACATGCAGATAAATAAAAACAGAAGGAGATAATCACATAACAAATCTTGGATAAGGGATCATAGTAATGACAGTTGTCATCAAAGGTAGGTGACATGCCTCCGTGTACCAGCCACCTGCTTTCCATGTAAAAACTTAACTAACACTCGCCGGGAGGCGGCCCCACCATTAGCCCTGGGAAGGGGTCTCTGAGGCACACAGGGGAGGAGAGGTCCCCCTTCCCCCAAGGCATGGCGTCCACCCAGCTCCACACTAAGGTTGGTGCCTGTCATGCCCACCCCAAGAGAAGTTCTCCAGACTCAGCTGCTTCAGTGTCACTCCTGAAGCCAGCACTTCTCAAGCAGCAGGGGCTTTGGGGGTCGCCCTGCTCCTGCTTGGGACACACCCAGGGCCCCCATGGTGAGGGGGGGTACGCAGGTTTGGTGCTTTGGAGAAGACCCTCCCTTGACCCCTCACTTCCCCTTGGCTCCCTGAAATAGCGCTGCTCTGCACAGACCTGGCAACACCTGCTGGTCACCTCCGAGAGCATCTGGATTTCCTGTCCTTATAGATGAGTAGGGCACCATCCACACGGTGGGCCAAGGCTCTGCGTGACAATATTAAAGCAGGAGCATATGGAGAATCTGAACAAAACTGTAAGGTCCATATATAAATATGACTCAAATATTATGTAATATAACATAATATTACATGAACATTATATATTACCAAATTTATACTAAATTTACAAATAGGATGATGTGTATATTGTGTTAAATATATATTATAATACATTACAAATGATTATAACTAATGATTAGCTAAAATCTTAATTCCTGTGATGGATTTTTACCCATCACTTTTGCTAGTTAACTTGTATTTGCACAGGACCTTTTTTTCACTAAGTCTCAAAAATGTCACCTGTCACATTATGCTCTCTTAAAACAAAGACCTGGTGTAGAGATGACTTTTCCTCCTTCCTACTTAGTACAACATGGAGACCTTCCGACATCTCAGACTTCCACTGAGTTAATTGTGTGAGTTTCCAATGGGTTCCTCCTGGAAAAACTGTGATAGAACAAAGCAGAAACGTGTTTTCTTTTCACCTGTAGAAAAAAGTGGAGAGGCACCGATTCCCAAGGGGGATTTTCTCCATCGAGTCTCGATTGACCCCACAGCCCACACTTTCATGGGGCTGGTGAACTGTGAAGGAATGAAACCTGAATCAAATCATAATTTCGCTTCTCCAGACTAAAATTAGAAATGAAAGATCTGACTTCCAAGCCCGGACAAAACACAACCTCCTGTTTGTAAAAGAAAGTTGCCTTAAAAGCTTTCTTATACAGCCCATATCTCTGACACATCAGTTTTTTTGGATGATCTCTCTCTCTCTCTCTCTCTCTCTCTCTCTCTCTCTCTCTTTCTCTCTCTCTCTCTCTCTCTCTTTCTCTACGGACTCCAAATATTCTGGATTAAATTTCATTTTAAGTATACACAGGTTTAAATATTAAGTGGGGAAAATGCTTGACAAGAATCTACTTGGGGTTCACTGAGCTCAGAGAGTTTTAATTGAAAATAAAACCAGCGATGCTTAGCCATTCCCCTCTGACCTTGTGACTGGTCACACGAAGACCTCACTGCAAGGGACCCTTTGGCTTTGGCCATGGGCCAGGCTCTTGCTTGCTGGGCAAGCAATCCGTGATTTCCTTCAGAGTCTGTGAGACAGATCTGAATCCAATTCTTGACCTTGACAATGCCAGTTGAAGACAAAAATGACTCTGCACAAGTGATCTCAGAAATGGACACAAGATGCCCAAAGCTGACCCTTCGCAGATTCTGAATGGTACTCCTTTAGTCCTTTTCTCCAGGCCACGTATCACTTACCTTCCTCACACTTTCTTTTCCTCTCATACGCTGAGGACAAAGGACAGCAGGGGAAAATGGTGGCTTCTTGGAGGCTAAGGAATTGTCCTTTCTCCTCTATAAGACTCATAGGGACTGGAAGGAAGTGCACAGTGAGGTGTACATTTACAAGCTGGCTTCCTCCAGCTTGGAGATGTCCATTTTGAAGATGTGAGCTCTAAGCCTAGTAAGCAGAGTTTGGGTTGTAGGGATGATTGTGTGAGCTCGGGCTGTTCAGAGTACTTCTGCTGGATCCCTAGACACAGGCTCTTTCCCTGGCTCTGTCTGTGGTGGACTCTTTCCACTTTCTGTTTCAGGAGTAGCCATGTGACTTGCTCTGGCTTATGGCGTGTGAGTGGCTGTGACACACACTATCCCTGATCAGAGGCACTGGACTGTCTTCTGGGTTGGCCATCACTCCCAGATAGATGTCAGATGGGGCTGTTCACTGTCCAGTCAGGAGGGGTGAGGGAACACTTAGAGTCAAGTTCCAGCTGAATCAAAGAACTTATAACACAACTGAGAATGTCCCTATCACTGTGGGTCACAATGTTTTGGGAGTTGTCACTGAGGCGAAACCTTGGCCATGGAGAGGGTTCTTATGCCATGTTTTTGTATCTTAAATTATGTTCCTCAACTCACAGGTGAATGAAAGGAAAGGCATAAAGTCCTGAAATATTCCTAAAGTAAACTCCAAGTGTTGACCTGTGTCAGGATACTCAGTAGAGGAAGAATCCAAATCTAACAAGATTTCAACAGGACAAAAAAATCCTGATCCCAGACAAGGTCCTAAGAAGGTGCCTGATTCTCATTAGATTACCCTAAGTGAACCTTTAAATCTACCAAGGTAGCTTTTCAGAGAACCCTGTCAATGCATCCTACCCGTCAGTCCAATATTTTGAGGATTTAGGGGTCCCCGGTTCACAGAGCTGAGGGCTTCATGATCTTCAGCCTAGGATCATTTCTTTCTATCATTGCTAGGTCTCACTGGGTAGGTAGAAGGGGCTTGAAGGGATGGGGTGCCTTTCAAAGCAGTGACAGACATTATTTTGTTGAGCCTTTCTCTTAACTTTGGGAAGAAAGAAATTTCTCTTTTTCCAAAGGAGGAAACTAAGCTTAGAATGACTAAATAAGTCACACATGCTCATAAAGCTAATATGTGGAAGATTTAACAAACCAGATCCATCTGCCTCCAGTGCTCCAATCTGCACACCACCACCATGCAACATGATGGGAACATCGTAAGTTTTCTGCTCATGAGATGTTTGCATGAACTGTAGAATAACCAGCTATAATTGACTCACTGTTTACCCTGTACCAGGCCTTGTATAAGGAGTTATATATTAATTGAATATTCAGATAGTTCCTAAATAGACTCGATTATCGTTCAGAGAGAAGGGTTCTTTGACGGGTCTGTCTGAGTCAGTAGCTCCTCGCGATACTCCAACACTTCAGGGACCATCAGAACTACCTGGAGGCCTGGACAGTCTGCAAGTCTGCTAACTGCCTAGGAGGCACTGATGCTATGACTGTGAGACCACACTTTGAAAGCCATGGTGTACTCCATTCCCCATTTACTGGGCTACAGAGAATATAGAGATAATGATCAAGTGCATGGGAAGGGAGCTAGGGCCAGGAAAAAGAAGGAAGTCCATGAGAAAACATCTACAAGGCTGGGAGATGTTCAGTGGGATTTTCAGGTATCCAGGATGATTTCCTAAGGGATAGGAGTTCAGGAATACTGCCTTGTTCAAAAACAAACACAAAAAACAAACAGTTGAAGGTTTCTGATGGGTAAGGAAGCAATCAGGTGAAAATCACTGTGGGTTTCTTTCTTGGATGGGATGAGAGGTGTCACATTGGAATGATTTCATTATCACACTGGCCAAGAACGTTGGAGGACCTAGCCAGCTTGGGGTCCTCTCTGAGGTATGTAATACGGATGAAACACAATTCAAGGGGTAAAGGATCAAACAATTCTGGAAAGCTTGCCTTTGAACCCCCAAATATATCACCCCTGTAGACCTACACTGGGCATTTGGGTGCTACAGATTATGGGAAACTCAATGCTGAGAAATCTGCATAAGTACACAGGGCTATCTGTGCCTGTGAAGCCATTTGGAAACTAGGAGAACCAATCTTGTCCAAACCTTTTCTCTACATGCGGGGAGAAAGAGATTCCAAAGGCTTGAGCAATTTGTGCAAGGTTACTGACCCACTACAGGTTACAGCTGCAAAACAGCTTTTGTGATTCATGATACAGGCAGATGTCTATCTTCACTGTCACTATCACCAAGCTTCTTGAGATGAGCTGTCAGTCTCACTGGATGCCAAAGACAGGGAAGACTGATGAGCACAGCTCCCTCCCTCCACTCAACCTTAGCATCAGGTTGGCTTGGGAAAGCTACTGAGGAATGAGTGCCTGCTACTCAACCAGAATTGGGTGGGGTGGGGGTGGGGAGCCTGCCAAGAAATGGTGTCTTTAAAAAGAACTCCATTGCCAGATTATGTGGCCAGAGTTTGCAAAGGGGCTCCATAGACTGGAGAGTTATCATACACTGGAAAAGCAAGGAGGATTCCTTTCGAGACACAACCCACACTTGCATTGCATGTGAGCGTCTAATGATCCAGTTTGCCTCTGTGGTCAAATATTTAGCCTTGTTTTTCTGTTTCCATTCCATTATTATTGTTTCAAATTCCATAAGTACTGAAAAAAATCATTTTCCATCCCTAAATGTGGTTTGCATAGTTCTCCCCTTGATTCCTCTATGCAGTTTCTTTCTTTCTTTTTGTTCTTTTCTGTTCCATAGAACGCTAACCTTCCCCCACTCAGCAGAGACAAGTTTACACAGATCCTGGGTTCCATGGGAGACTCGCTTTCCATTTTCCATGGCAAAGAAACTGAGTACTGGAATAAGTCAGAGGTATCATTTGCAGAATATTTTTGTAAAGACAGTTTAATTTCAGGTCCTTTATTTGCGAGAGAGTTGGCCAACCCAAATAAAACATTATACATCTGTCTGTTGTTACAAGTGACCAACCTCAGCTGAACATGATTACTTAATAATAGCTAACTTTCCTATAGAGCAAAAAACGTGCAGCAGCTCAGAGCAAATGGAAATTTCCTTCAGTGTACCACCCTGGATCTCTCTTGCTCCAACATGTGAAGAACTTGGGTAATAAGCATATTCTCCCCTTTCATCACAGCATGGCTTGGCCATGCATTGTTGTGTGATGACTGGTGAAACAGGAAAATTTATGTCCAGGGGGAAAAAGGAGGGGGGATGGTATTGCATTATGTTCCCAAGAGGACTGCCCCAAATGTTCTCTTCAGGGAATAGATTTCTACCCCTGGCTGGTAAATCTCACTTACTATTCTTGTCTAGGTTAATACAAACGCAGTGATGGAGACGGTTCAGCGGGGTGCCATTTGGTCAAGGGAAAGGAAGTGTAGAGTACTCGGGTTGGTTTGACTGTAGCCTGGAATAAATCAAGCTGGAAGGCATGTTTCTGCAGACAGCCCTGGCACGGAAAGATTTGATGTAACTGGGCATAGTCGTGGCATGCAAAGAGGAACAGAACAGGCAGGCAGCAAGCACGGATGGTGTTTGCTTTAACTCCTCCTTGGATCTGGGGAGTTGGTTTGGCTTTTTGTGATGTAGCATTCTATAATTTGCAAGGCTTCAACTTGGTCTTCCCCTCCATGAATTTCTCTCATGCACACCTTGAGCCTAGCAACTTTCAACCCTCAGGTGTATATTTCTTTTTTCGCTTACGTTTCTGATGGGGATGAAGGTATAGAAAGACAGAAAGCTCCTTTTAAATACATAGGCACAGCTTTCAGGCTGGCTTACTTCCCTGGATTCATGCTAGTTACTTTTCCTTTCATCTAAAATACGTTTGGAATGGTCTGTGTCTAGGGAAGACTGAGGGTAAGGGTCAGGGTCATTCACCTGTAGATAGGACTCTTTGTGTTAATTTTTCATGCTCATTATTATCCTAATGGGACTCTTATCCCAGACAAAGGAAATTACAACTTTTGTTTGATTTGGAACCAAGTTATTTAACCATGGGATGAGTGTCAAAAGTTTCACAATCCTGTCTCACTGTCAGTATAAACTTTGACCACATTTCTTTGATACAGAAACTGGATCTCGCAGGATCCCAGGGGAACACAGCAAATCCCCAAATTCTTGTATTATGCTCAGCTTGCTTTAAGGACTAGTAATGTATCCGAGGCATGTGTTTTCTCAATGTTGAAAACAGACTCTTGTGATCTACGAGTGACAGCAAGATATTTTCAAATTCCAAAATGCTTTCACATTTGATCAAAGTCTTAGACTTTTGGTAGCTCATTAATGTCCACCAGTAAACAAGGTAAGAGAGCACATGCCATCTGCTCTTAATTAGCGGAGGGTGACTGGCCAGTTTTGGTGATGTTAAGAGTTTGCCAGGTCTGATACAAGATGTTCTTTGAATTTGCATCTTAGAGGGACAGCAAGTAATTTTTAGTATAAGTATGCCACAGGCAATATTTGATACATGCTTACACTAAAAATTATTATCTGAAATACAGAGTCAGAGATGGACTTTATATATATATATATATATATGTGTGTGTGTGTGTGTGTGTGTGTGTGTGTGTGCACTATATGTAGTAGAGACAGATATAGATAGCACAATGATCCTATATTTTTTCTTACTAAATCTAGCATCCCTAGGAAAAATAAATTTATGCTCAAGTGTAACTCAGAAGGCCAACAATAAAAAAGTAAAGACAGGATTTTAATATAGAGAAAATAGTACTTAAAAGAATGACATTCCTGGACTTCCGGAAGAACATGGTAGATAGATAGCAACAGCTACGGAGGCTCTCTGAGATACCCTACTTAAAATCCAGGAATGGTGCAGTACAAGGAGTCCTAAGCAAGGGGAGATATACCCTGCCAACCCAGGAATGAACTAAGCTAAGAGAAACCAACTGGAAATCCAATCCTGGTGCTATAACAGGAACAGATGAAATCTCAGCGTGGAAGCTAGAACCTGCACAACTGGAAGCCGTGATTTGAATTTCCTGCTGCCGCTGCTGCGTCCAAATCTGCTGGGCAGGGAGAGAGACTCGTGAAACCTTTGAGAGCTGGAATCTGCGAACGGAGTTGAAAGCGGGACTGGCAGGGAGCCCTACATCGACTTGCGGTGAGTGAGCAGAAGGGGACCCTTTCATAGAGTAGGAGGCTCCAGCAAAGGACATACTGGGACCAGGCAGACTTGCTGGAACAGGATGCTGCAGTGACATTAGTTGCATATTCCCCTCTCAAGCGGGATTGGTGTGGAGTGCCTGGCCTGTGTGACGCCGCCAAGTAAGACCCAGTAGGCTAGCCCAAATCAGGTCCCAGCACCTGGAGGTGCACCCTAGCAGTGAAGCCTTCGGTAGGTTGACCTGGAGGGGCGGGCCCAGCAGAGGCTGCCCAGGTCTGTGTCTCCCTAGTACACTGCAGTGGGCGGGAACACCTAGCCAGCACAATTCAAACAAACCGTAACCAAAAAAAAAAGAAAAAATTGGGCCTCCTACATTCACTTGTATGGAAGGAACAAAAAGTATGGGAAGAGGAAGCAACAAGAAAGGGTCCTCAGTCTCCAATCCTGAGAACACTGATCCAGGAAAGGGAAACGCAAAGGAAGACAGAAAACATGCAATATCAGACACAGCACCAATAGACATAAAGCGATATCTCCAGAGCCTCATAGACGAGTTTAAAAATGAAGTATTTAACGAAATAAAGCAAGATATAAGTAGAATAGTTAGAGAAATGCTAAACACCACCCAAGAAAAAATAAATGGTGGAATGGAAGAACAGAAAAAAGGGGGAGAATTGTTTGATTGAGAAAATAGAGAAAACATAGAATACATGAAGCAGGTTCAAAGAGATTACCAGGAAACTAAAAACTCTATCGAAAGCTGGCATAACAGCTTGAAAGAAACTAAGGATAGATTATCTGAACTGGAGGGCAGATTTGTAATTTGGGAGCATGAAATGAAAAACTTCTTAAAAATAACAAGAAAACAAACAGCAATAATACAAAGGCTAGAAGATGATAAGAGGATCTATAACTTAAGAATTAAGAACATAAAAGAAGAGGTATGGACACAAATGGATTACAAAACCTATTCACAGAAATAATCCAAGAGAATTTCCCTAATTTAGCAAAAGGTAAAGATACTCAGATTTATGAGGCATACAGGACCCCAGCCACCTACACCCCAAACAGAGCTATACCCGGGCATATAATAATCAAATTTCCAGAAATCCAATATAAGAACAGAATACTAAAAGCTATCAGAGACAATAAACAGATCACTTACAAGGGAATACCCAATCAGAATTACAGCAGACTTCTCGGCACAAACCATCAAATCACGAAGAGCGTGGGGGGAAATAATTCAAGCTTTGAAAGATAACAACCTCCAGCCAAGATTGATATATCCTGCACAACTGTCCCTAGAAATTGATGGAAACACAAGGCGCTTCCAGGATAAAGAGGAACTAGGGGAATTTGCAACCACCAATTCAACTCTACAGAGAATACTGCAGGATATTCTAAAAAAGGAAAATACCAAGACTTCAGAAACAGTGGCAGAGAGGCCACAATGAATGGAGCAGAAAGCTAAATGAAGAAGACAAACTGACAACAAACGACAGAAAAAGAGCTCAACAGAAATGAGGCAGAGAAGATTGGATGGTAGGAACATTTTGGAGAAAACAAGACATCATAATAGCTAGTGCTGATTTAGTATCATCTTGCTTTGAAGTCTCATCAAGCTTTTATTCTTCTGTCTCCATTGGTCTTAACAGGTTGTATCTTAATAGATTTTATTATATGTGATAATATAAGCAAAAACTTTATAGACAAGGAGATTATACAGAAACCATTGTTCATTTTTTGATAGTTGGTTCTAAATACCCTGTAATACTGTCATTCTCTTGAATGGTTTTACATTGTCTTGATATGTTTGATGCTACAGTATAAGTTATACTCAAAGATTTCAAGGAAAGAGACACTATGGTAACTACTTTTATGTCAGGATATCTTGTGGTGAAACACTATTTTGCTTAAATGGTTATGCTTTGACCTGCGCTGTTTTGTCGTTATGCCCTCTTTTACTTAAATCTCCTTTTTAAAAAATTATTTACTTTTTTATTTTTATCTTTTTAATTAAGGAAAAAATAAAAAAAATAGGATGCATTATAGTAACCTACTTTGATTTCCTATTAACTTGATTTGAAACCCTGTATAGCCCTCACCATCTTGCTTTGACTGATTTTCCCCTATTCTACTTTGCTTGATAGTACCAAGTTTGAATGTATAGGCAAAACTGTGAAGACAATAAGATTCATTATGACACCCATTCCACTATTATCTTCTTTTAAAGACCTGTAATGTCTCCAATGTTTTGGTTTTATTCTTTACTGTTTTGTTCAGTTTTATTGTAACTGATGATATAGGCAATTCTTTTTAAGATAGCAAGAGGCAGTATGGTAACCATTGTTGTTCACCTAGTATTTTGTTTTTACATTATCTATTATGTCCATCCTTTTGCTTTGACTGACTCTGTTCTGTTATGTCACATTTGGTTTTACTCTCTTCAAAAAACAAGTAATAAGAACTGCGGGAGTAATAAAACCCAACATGTGTAATTGTCATTGTACAAAAGAAAGGAAAAGAAAGTGCTCTAAAGAATATAACTGCATATATATTTAAGTGTATAAGATAGATAACCATATTACTGAGTTTTGTTGGATCATTGAACAGAACTGTTTGCAGTCTCACTGTTTGAAAGTCCACTTTATATGCTTTAATTTTGTAACTTGAACAACTATTTCTAAGAGAATATGTAATCTATTAACTAGTGATTTCCTACAGTTTATTTTTTCTGAAATTCTGTGTAACTTGTACAATTTTTCTATTTTTTTTCTTTTTCTCCTTAAATAAAGAAAACAGAATGACAGTCCAGATTTCCCCATTACTAGGGGAAACAAACACAGAATGGCGTGAGAGGAAGGTCAGCCTCATCCCTGTGTGGATTAACAGTGAAGCCAGGAAAGCCAGCATGTCGATCACATTTGAACATTTTAGTTCAGGGGCGCTTAGCCATTTTTTTTGCTATTGTCCCTTTCGGTGGAATAGTAAGACATATGACTAACTTCTTGGACCAATGTTTAAATAGACAAAAATAAACTACTTAACATTAAGAATGCATCAGTAATATTAAAAGGCATTCTTTGTAATATTGAAAAAATATTTCTTCTCTCATTATTGCATAAATACTGTCATTTTGAAGCATGGTGAGCAGAAATGTCCCTCCAACATCTCTGAAAAGAGGACAATTTGATGTTGGAACATCTGTGTTTGTCCTATGGCAAAGTCACAGTAGTGACCTACATAGCCATGGTTTATCGCACACATTCAGGGCAAGACAACGTACATTTTAATTGCCCTTCCACCAACATCAGGGGTCCTTCTGAGTTCCAGGCAGAATCTCTTCAGGAACCCGGGACCCAGGTTTATCCTCAGTTGTGGATTCTGATGTAGTCATGCTAATCACGCCAGAGAAATCAGATCAATCCATTGAAGCCTTCCAGGTGGTTTTCCTCAAAGACACAGTTAGACATCAGAGATTCTGTTTCTTTTATAAAAACAATGTGCACAGGTAACAGTTGGAATCATGGTGAGGCCCCTTCCAGCAGGACATCATCACATGCACTAAGCTGGATGGTGAACATGGCACTGGCTCTCATGTAATGGGAACATCACTGTAGGGGGGCTTTCCACTCCATGCTCAAGAGGCGATGGGACCCTTGCTCTTACCCAGGCACATGGGAGGAAAGAACAGAAACACACATCTCTCGTGGTCCTCATAGCCTTAATGTGGCCTTTCTGAGCATTTCGGAGCTGGATCCACTACACAGGCAAACGCTACTTTATAAGCCCCTGGTTTCATCACAACTCTTACTGGAAAAAAGAGCGCTTACTCATTGGTGGAGTCCTGATTCAGACAGTCCTCCCCTTCATAAATCCTCCAGCGGCTTCCCCGCTGACAAGACAAATCCTGAGCGCCTTGGAGAAGCACAGCAGCTCTTGGAAGTCCTGGCTCCTGCTCCCTGTTTAGCTTTGTTCCTTTCTGACAGAGCCCGGTACATATCGGCCTCTTCTGGGCCAGCCTATTGCCATGATATGCTTACAGTTGATGACTTTCCCCAAGAGAAATCACATCTACCCCAGGGGAACAGCAGAGGGTTATATTCAGATTGCTTCAAATTCACAGACAGCTACAAGATCCTTCACCCACTAAATGGACAATGTTTCTCAATCTGTTATTCACAAAATTTAGGGAGGTGAGATGATATTGCCAGCTTTATCTGGGAGCTAAGAATTTATTGAGCACCTACAGTGTGCTGTGCAAGGGGCTGGGATTTTTCAGCCAGCAGGATCTGCTTGCTTCCAGTTCTCAGACAGCTTTCAATGCTGTAAATCTTTAGCCAAGTGATTCTAAGGGAAGAACGAAAAAATCCAGGGAAGAATCCAAGATGTGGGCCTATGATAAGCCAGGTGACAGGAGGTGTCAGGGACACACACACTCGCAAAATCCTAAATGGCATAGAGCATGGCACCTTCCAGGCATTGTGGAGAGGGAGCTGGTGAAGGAGATGCAGAGGATGGAGCCTGGGAACCTGGACTTCATCCTAGCAGAATGAAGAGAGTCTCAGGGTTTTATTCAAGGAAAAGACAGGATTGGACTTGCTTCGGAAAGTGATCATTTTTGACAACATGTGGAATAGACTGGAGGTGGTGCTCAGAGACGTTGGGAGTTTAATTGGTGCTTTCAGTAATCCTCGCTGAAATTACTGATGTTCGGGTCGGAGCCTGAGGGCAGCCAGGAGCCCTGAGTGGTGCCTTCTGGGTAGAGTCCCCGGGTGGGCCCCTCTAACAAGCAGCTTTGGGGGACAAGAGAAGAGAGACAGGTCTGAAAGACAGCTCCTGGTTTGCTGGCATGGGAAGGAGGTGGGATCGGTTTGGAGGCGGTAACTCACTGGCCAGAGGATGCTGGATCTCTTAAATCATGTATGTGTCTTTGGACAAATGGGTTCTTAGAAGGTTCTCGTATTATGGCCAAGTAAAGCTTGATTTTATACAGAATCCTGATACAGAAACAGGATCCTGCAGGGAGGTAGAGGGGGAGATCCCTGGTCCGGGTTTGTGGGTGTGCACTCTGGACTGCCAGGGAGATCCCTGAACAGACATGAGACCTGCAATTTGTGCTAATCGAACCAATGTCCTGTAGAGCCAATGGCTTGAGGAGGGCACCTTCAGCACTTACGTCTGCAAACGTAATCATGGCAGTGGCTCCGTTTCCCCAGCCTCAGCCCTGGGCGGTCTTGGCATCAGAAAGCACAGGTCTCTGACAGGTGAGACCAAGGAAAAGCTTGGGGTTTGAGGAACACAAAAGCAGCCGTGACCTGCTTTCCACCTCCCAAGGCTCCCTGTGGACGAGTCTGCAGACATGAATAGCACCATGCGTGGCATCTGGTAGAGTAATTTGGCACGGCTTTGTTGGGGAGAGCAATTTGACAATGTGCACTCAAAGTTTTAAACTATTTATGCATAGCCTTAGACCCAGTAAGTCTAGGAACTAATAAGAAATGTGCAACAGAATTACATACAAGGGTGTGCTCTGTTTTGTAGTATTAAAACATTCAAAGCAACTCAGATCACCAATAAAATTTATAAAATATTTATAAGCTGCACTAGTATGGAGTCTTTAAAAATTAAAGCAAAAGATACCTTTTTCAAGGCAACTGCAGTGCTGAATAGACAGTGTAATCCTTCTCTGTTTTTCTTTCCAGGTAAGATTAAAATGAAAGCCCCTAAAATGCCAGCAGCAGTTATCTCTTCAAAAGAAAACAAAATTAGAGAGCGTTTTCAACTAGACTTTCCATTTTTATGCAGTTAATCTGAAAATTCAATTTCCCAGCAGAGAGCGTTCCCCAGCATTCCACGGTTGACTGTAAATGAGAAGCCTTCCACTGCTCTGCTGAGAAACTTTCCACACACCACTGTGGCCAAATCCAGGAAGGCGTTCACTCTCAGAGACGTTCTCATTATGCAAATCTGAGAACTCGCTTTCGGTAACTGGTCAGGGCTATTACTCCATGATAACGAGAGGCTTCCCTCAGTTGGCTGGAGAGTTTGCACTTCGACTGCTGTAAGGAAGATTCTTGCCCACCACCGCAGTGGGCAGCTCACTTCATTCCCTGTCCCTTTTTGCCCTGCGCCTTCTAGCAAACTCTTACTCATCCCTCAAGGCCCAACTGAAATGTCACCTCTGCTTCCTGTTAAAGAGTTCATCTTGATCCTCTCTCTGCCTTTTACATGTTTTCTATACCTTATGACAGCGTACAGTGTACTGCTGTACTGTTTTAGAACTCCCCTTTCCTACTAAAAGACCAGTTTGGAAGGGGTGCATGTTTAATTTCTCTTTTAACCCCTAATGCTCGACCAAGACTTGACATAGAATGACAACTATGCTTGAGGGAGGAAAAGAATGGTGCCAAAGGGAGCTGAATTTAGTGACCATAGCTCATTAAAGATAATATATGCAGTGTTCTGGGTCAGAGAGAAAACCGCTCCACTGCTGGGCACAGCTGGGCACACTCACCACGAATGGCCACAGCAGAAATGAAGATTTGGACTTCTGAATTTGATTCATAGCTTACAGATTATTCTGCTGTATATTGAAGAAAAAAATAGATCTGTGTTTCTCAAATGGCCCAAAACAAAATCCATGAGTCTACACACAGTGAATTTAGTCCAGTGAATTAACTTTCAGGTGTGTTTCATATTGTTTGGTTTTAAGAATACTGAGCATAATGATTCCATTCTAAACACACCCCAAAAGTCCCCCATGTTCAGAGGTAGGGCTTAGGAAGCATGGGGACTGGACTGGAGCATGGGGTGCTGTGCTTCTCAGGGTTAAAACACTGATGAGTTCATGGCCCAGGGGGCTGCTAGAAGGTGAGGCGCAGGCAAAAGTGGGTCCCTGGGCGCATGACCCCGAAGTGTAATTCTTGTCCCCCGCTTCCTGGCTGCTACACATCTCCCCCACTGGGACCTTCCTCCATGCCATGACTGCCTTGGAGCCAGCCCACCAGGGACTGAACCTTCTTCAGTCCTGTGTACAGCAGGAATCCACATAGGCTCAATAACAAAATAATCAGAGTATTCAAATCTAGCTCCTACTTGGTCCTCTTAAATGTGTATACTCTACATTAAAATGTGCACAATCCATTAATACAAGACAAAAATGTATGCATACATGTGTGTGTGCTTCAGTGTTTTCCTCTGTCTGGGGGAGAGGGTGGTTGTAGATTGCAAATCCACAGTTTAGACCAATGCTTAGAACACTGCAATATCCATCCACGTTCGCCAGGGGTCATTTACATATGCAGGCTCATGTTTGGAGAGTTGGTTGTGAAGTCTAAGAATCTGCACCTCTAACAAGTCCCCCATAGACACACAGGCCAGACCACCAAAGCTCACACTTTGAGTAGCCCTTACTCTCCAGCAGCCACAGGCCCTCAGCACGACCCAGGCAAGGCAGGAGTAGGTTTAAGCTGATTTCCCTTCCTACCCCCAGAGAAGGAGGCCCCAGGCAGCTTCCTGAAAAGATGGCTTTGCCTATGGGAGAAAGTTCATGGTCTCAACTGACTTCACTGGGGAAAAAAACATTGTTTATAAGTCACCATACAGTATTGCGAAATGGACCTGCAGTCAGCAATTCTTTTCCAAGGTTCAGCTTTTATCTGGAAACTTTCTTTCTGGGAGACATAGCTGGAAACCAAGGTCCTGACCACCACCCCTGGAGCTGACATTGGCCAGAAGAGCACTAAGTCATGGGTCCCTTCCACGATGACTACAGACAGATACCACCATGCATCAGCAGCCTTGCAACATCTTGGTGTCAGGAAGGTTACAGGGGCTCTCATCCAAAATAAGACGACCATCTCACACACACACACACATGCACACTCCCTGAATCAAATGAATTAATTTCCTAGCCTGCCCGACAATATGTGTTTCTCTGTCCTGTAACAAAAGACTTCTGTTTAACTTGAACTTTGCATCTCTGCCTCTCTGAGCCGGCTTGCACCACGCAGGTGTGATTTCCAGTGAGTTTTGGACTATCTTTGCGCAGTCTAGCAAAAATAGCTACTGATGCTCCAAGCGCCCTCAAGGCAAAGGCAGGTCCATGAATACATGGCGCTGTGTCCTTCCTTCCTTATGGACCAGACCTGGCCCTGTACAACATAACATTTTTTCCCCAAAGTCAAAATGATCAGGCAAAAGAAAGGCCTTGAGCTGAGTCAGAACTTTGAGAGTGATACAACTAAAGAGGGCCATGGGGGAAAGACTTCCAGAGCTGCATTAGAAAGCCCGGATATCCGTGTTCAGGGTGAGGGGGAGGCTTCTCAGGGAGGATGTGTGGCCATGTGTCTCTTGCTGCAATAGAGGCTTAAAAATGAAACATGCACTGTGTTTGTGGATCCCACCTGGCATACGTCTAACTTCACACTTCAGAGTAACTCTGGGGAGACACTGGTCAAAATAAAGGAATTATTTAACGGAAGCCACGGTGGGCTGGAGTCTGCCGGAGTGGCAGAAACCGTGGTCTGGCTGGCTGGAAGCCAATCCCGAGCCTGTGTCCTGGAGCGTGAACACCTGTTTTCACTTTATAAGCGCTGGGCCCGGGGCTGGCAGGGCTCTGCCGCCTTCAAATGGTGCGAAGGTGATAGCCCAGAAGCAAAGGAAAGAAGCCCTGGACCTCACAGAGAATGGTGCACTGAGGGGGTGAGGGGCCAAGCAGAGGTGAGTGCGTGGTGTCCCCGTGCCCTGCGGCCTGCGCAGCTGGCCTCAGTCCCGCGAAGTCAGCATGAGCTGGCAGTGACCCCCCCCACCTGCCCCTGCTTCTGTGGCCTGCACTCCTGTGAGCAGCCCCGCAGTGGCCCTCGGTCGGCCTCTCTACCCCGCTTCCTGCAAGGTCTGCGGCCACAGTCTTTGGTTCTAACTCCCGTGTCACTTCTGCTTCCACCCACGTCACTGCCTTTTCCAGGATCCTGGGCACAGATGTGAGGGTCTTCTCCTCCACCCCATCCCAGCATCTCGCTAGCTGCCCCCAGGCCTCTTCCTGGCCCTTCCCACTCAGCCCTCCTGGGTGTAAGACTAAGCTCTCTGATACGAAAACACAAACTTCCACAACTGAGAACTGGCTCCTGTTGCCCAGTCTGCAGAGGTCAAAGCGCCTAACTCAGGTCCATCCCTGCATCCATTCCAAAGGGCCTCACTCCTTGTATGACAAGCTGAATCCCCAACTGCTGTCCTGGTGTAGGCCCCGGTTACCACACTGGCCACATCGCTGGATGTCCCCTCCTCCCCACCCTGTCCATGGTCCAGTTAGGAAAGCTGCTTTTACCTCCCCACACTCCCAGGCTGCCTGGCTCCTTTCCACCTGCCGCCTCTCCTCTGCCTGCCCTGCCTGGGAAACCGGTCCTCCAATCAGCAGGCACCTGCCCAGTTGACCCTCCAGAGTCGTTGAAGGCCTCTCTTCCTCTTTACCCCAGAAAGTGAGATGTCCCTGTCTTCCCATGGTGACACAGTGCTCCAGGCTCTATGTGTTTGTCCACCCTGAACAGCAAGTCCTCAAAGGGCAGCCACGGGGCCTGTCCACTGCTACGCCCACTATGCCATCTTTCACACAATTCCCTGGCAATGGTGGGTGCTCTAAAAAATGTTTTCTTAATTCATTAATAGGTTGGTGTGGAAATCCATGAACAGAGTCCCTGTCCCTCCATTAATAATGAATGAAAGTCAAGAACATGGCCCACGACACGTGTGTGGTGCCCATGCCTTTTTCGCTATATGTAGCCTTTGGTAAATTGCTTTTGTGAGCCCATTTGCATTTGCACATTGTTCAGTCTCCAGGGGAGGTGAGTTTGCACAGTGCTGAAACCCTCAGAGTGCAGAAGCACCTCGTTTCATCTCTTCTGACTCAGACACCCTTGGATGCTGAGCTGACCCTTGTGTTGTGACTCACTGGTGTCCTGGACAGCAGAGGTGGCTTCTCTCTGTGAGAGGTGGTTTGCTCTGCAGGGCACATTTAATCCATCTCTGGCTACCCAAAGGATGAAGAATTCCCAGTGGAGAAGCACAGTTACAGTGATACACACAGTGGCTCATCCTTTGTTTAGTTCACACGGCCCCACACCAAGCCACACACACAAGGTTAGCCTGGAAATTACTTCCACACCTCCGCCTGCACTTACTTGGTGCATTTTTCAAATGCACAGCCTAATCAGTAACATCTTTAGGAAGCCCAACAGTACCTAGAGACCCGTGAGAAGGTCAAGTGCGGGGGAGGCGATGCTCTCAGGTCTGTCGGGTGGGCAGGGGTTCCCCCTAAGCCCCTTCAGTTCTTCCTGCCATCGTACAGCATGTTTCCTCTCTAGCTCCTTTAGTTTGCTTACTATAACTGAAGAGGCTGAGGGTTACCTGGAATAGACCATTTCTACCTTCTCAGTTATGAGATACAGGGCTGAGTTTCTAGGATGCGAACCCCACTACCGTTTTAAGTAAACTACAACATGGGTGGTCTGGTCTGCACCACTCACGGGCTGCAGGGAGAACAAAAAGCCCACCTCGTCCTGTGAGTCGGTGCCATGTGCAGGCCACAGGGAGGAAAACCAGACACCGGCCCCTACCCGGTGGGAGACAGGAAGAGCCAGGGTCCTCCTTCCCCTGAGTGACTGGCTGATCTGGAGAAACACAGGCTGAGATGATAGCTATTGAAGTAAAATACAACTCCACCCTTGCACTGTTTAGTTTTTCACTGATTTGTAGGCCTAAAGCTTGGTTTGTCTCATCATCTATTTGACAACAACAACGTCCACTGTAACATTTGTGGGGATCTCCTCCTGAGGGTGATAGCCACTGTTAATTCCCCATTGTCTTGTTTTAAAGTCCTGTATCATTTTCATGGTTTGGTTTTATTGTTTTGTCTTGTTTGATTTTATTATATCAGAAGTCATGGTAGCCATTTCAAAGATAACGAGATATTATGGTAGTCATTTTGGATTTACTATAATATTATTTCAAAATCCTGTATTGTGTTCATTGTTTTGTCTTTTTGGTTCTGTTTGTTCTGTTCTGTTTGATTTTCCTATGTCTGATGGGCAGCTATTCTGAAGACAAGAGGCATTATATGGTAGCTATTGATGATTTCCTATTAACTTACTTTGAAACCTTGTATCACTTATACTGTTGTTGTTTTGATTTGCTTTATTCTGTTTTATTTTGCTTGGTTTTATTCTCTTTACAATTAAAAAAAAGTAGGTGGTTTACGGGAAATTGTATAGCTCATGCACTGCTTGGGACTGAAAATTATGATATGAGACTGAACTCCAGGGCGATCCGCTCTCTCCCAGCTCCAGCTCTAAGCTATGGTGCTGTTTCCTTAAGTTGTCATGATTCTCAGTTTACAACCACCCACAGATTCACTGACCCATCCATTCATTCATCCAGCAAACGTTTGACACTGTATTCTTTGAAATGTATAAAAGTGAGTGAATCCTGGTTCCTGCTCAGTACACCATGTGAGGGTGGAGATGACATAATATTTTATGCCCAGCAAGATAGACTCCTTTATACCTAAACAATATCCCATGGACCCATGGATACATCTCTACTCCTGCTGCAAAGCTTGATACTCACAGGATCATGTGTTTCTCTCTCTATATAAGACTATCCCCTTGGGCTTAGACACCCTGGCTTGGTTTTTCTCTGCACTGTCCACTTGTAACAGTTTCCTAGTGCACACAAATGAATGTGGTGTATGAAAATGTTCTGAGGTTTGCCAGAAGAAGAACCCATTTCTACAAACTCGAAGAATCCAAGAAACCTTTATGCCTTTCCTTAGGAAGAAGAAATGAAAGGAAAATTATTGCTGACAAGGGAAATTTCCCAGGCAAATAGCATGGGCGGGCAAAGCATGTTTGGAAGATGCTGCCCTGATCTGGTTACAGGATTCTCCAATCATAAGTGCCTTGGGGTTTTGGAGGTATCCGAGAAGGGGGGAGATTCAAAATGCACTATTGTCTTGGCTCTGGTGTAGGCCCTTCAAACCGGAAGTTCTCAGAAGACAGCATAAGAGTGGGAGTCTGAGTCTTGCTAATTTTTAAAAGCTCCTCACTTGCTTCTAATGTGTGTCCATGGTTGAGAATCATGGGAACCTCAAGAAAATTTACAATCAGACCAGATTGGGAGCTGCACTATTAATGAGGTTCATAAGGCAGAAGAGGTCAAACTGAGAACCGTAGTTTCTCACTGAACAGAAAGGATGCAGGCCCCTCTAGGAAGTCAGATGGAAAGGGAGGAGAGTAGCCACAGTGAGAGTGTGTATTAGGGGCTGGTGAATTTGGCTGAGCAGTACGTGAGCTAGGTAGATTGTCATGTTGGTCGTCCCCAGGTAAAATTCATGCATCTTTCAGATGTGGGGAGGTGGTGGGTGACCAGGAGCTGAAGAGGAGCTTTGCTCTGTGGTTGAAGTGGGGATCGTGAGGGAACACAGCGGGCAGCTTGTGGGATCCGCTCTGAAAGGTGAGGTTGCTTTGAGGTTGCTTTGAGGTTGCTTTGCTATTTCTAGGGCGCACACAGGAAACTTCAGAATTGCTTAACAGAGAAGTAAAGTTTGACCAAGGTTATCTCCGAAAAAGAAAAACACCCGGAGAAGACAGAAGTGGAGGGGAAACCTTGGAGACAGCTTAGTCTGAAGACAGGCAGAGAAGATTTTCCAGCAAAGCCCTGGAGGCAGACCAGCCAGAGGTTGACTAGCTAAATAAATCTGTCTGAGTGGACAGCTAAAATGCCAAGATTTCAAGAACGAGGGTGTGACCGATAGGTCACAGAGTTGAGGGACGACCAGGATGTGTCAATGTTGTCAGAGAGGTAAGTTTCCGAAAGGAGATGACCTGTTTCACTAAGACAGGGAAAGGACAGAGGTCACATGCATCGATGTGGATTTATTCATCACTTCCCACGCCCGGCTGTTCTAGATCCGGTAGATGTAGCAGGGCAGACCAAGCGCTTGAGCTCATGAGATGTAGGTTCCAGGTGTGGGGAAAGGGAGTAAGATAAGCAAAGTTACAGTTCTCAGGCAGAGGGGTAGAGGCTGACATTGGAGACTGTGTCATCCCAGTAAAGGGCCTGAGTCTGGTACTTTACCGTAAGAGGATCCCACCTGAGACCCAGGTAGCTGGCAACTAGAGAAGAGGAGAGGATTCAGCCCACAGAAGGGCTCTGTGGGGGTGCACCAACCGGGCTCTGCACGCTTACAGCACCCCGAGATGGCTGGGTGCCCCGCTGCCTGCAGAAGGAGTGTGCGTCCTGAGCTGAGGACTGGCGAGCCTCGGTGGTGAGGACTTATGGGAGCATGGGATAACCAGCACCATATTAGAGACATAAACATTGGAAGCCATAGAATGTCAGCGCTCAGGGTGAGAGCACACCCCTCAGCTCACAGAATCCACACGGCCACGAAGAGCATTAAGAAGCCTACTGACTCTGTCATCTAGCCCGAGGAGAGCTGTAATTTAGTGGTCCTACCTATCAATTACTCCTGTCTTCCTCATCTGTAAAATGAGAGGTCTGGACGAAATGACCTCAAAGTACTCCTCCAGCCCAGTCCACGGTGAATGTGGAACACACAGGGAACTTTCTGCAAGTCAGTTTACTTCTCTCCCATTTATATTGCATGTCTAACAATTGACGTTCAAAACTTCCTCCCTGTCTGTTGGGGTGGTACACACACATCTCCCACCCTGGGGAGCCATTCTGGTTTTAAAATAAATTGCACCTGGAAAGTATACAACCTGAATTCTGGTGGGGGAAATCTCCAGCCATGGGAGTAATTTCCTAGGGTAATGGATAGATCATTGATATGACACTAGGACTGACCAAGTAGAAAATTATTAGAGATCCTTACATCCCAGTATTTTCAAGCTTGGAAAATTACTTTGTAAGTATTGGGAGGAAAATGAGCTTTTTACCACCTGGGAATACAAAATAAAGCTGGGCAGACGTAAATCATTTCCTAGAGCTGAGATGAACTTGGGGTAGTATATTCAGGACATCTTCTCTCACTCTCGAAAACTGAGGATGAGAGTTAAGCAGGACTTGAGTTAGACCCTTAGAAAACTAAAATATAACATATAATCAGTTGGAAGAGGGCTACTAGCCAGTTACTGTTGTTCACTAAAATTTTACTACTTCACTGCTAATGTGACTTTCACATGTAATGAGATTATAGAGAATATTGAAAGAAACAAACCTTTTCCAACAGCTCCCTTGGCTACACATCTCATTAAGTCAGGGTCTTGAAGGTTCAAAACCCAATACCAACTGAAGATAATTTATTTGTAAATTTTATTGGACATGAGTAGTTAACAGCTTTTTAAAAAGCAGGGCTGGTGCTTTTCTCTTGAAATAAGTTTTCGGTATAACTCTCAGTTAGCTCTATACCTGAAACTTTGCATGGTGATAGATGGCAATTGAAACAGGTAAGCTGTGCAGATAAATTGCATGCAGAAAATTAGGTTTCCTCTTCACAGGGTAGGGTGCAAGAGCAAAGCAGCTGCTTTACGGATGATGCTACTATTGTACTTTTATTTGGGACATGGCAAAGTAGGGCTCAATCATTTTTAAACACTATGAGTTTTAAAAGTGGAAGTTTTCTTGAAATCAGTAAAAATCTATGCCATTAGAAATAGAAGAAAAAAAAGTGAAATGTGGGAAAACCATTTCTGAGATCATGGTGGGTACCCTGTTGGACACCTCCTTTGAGGGTTAGGAGTTTCCCCTCTCCTCTTGCACCATGCTGATTAGCCAGCTCCAGACTCACTGGGTTCATTCCCTGAGTCACCTCCCTGAGTCTAAGGGGGAGGTGGTGGTGACAGGCTCAGTGGAAGGTCACGGGTAACTGGGGAAGGCAGGTGGGGAGGGGTTCTGCGGGGGACCCCTGCAGGGTGGGGCCTTTGTGATGCTAGGCTAGTGGGCAGAGCATACCCTAATCACCCTGGGAGGCAAGGTGGGGCATTCGCTTTTGGGGGGAAATCCCTGTCCCCACCATGGAGACCCCCAAGTGCTTGCAAGGACAGAGCCTGTAGGACCCTGGGGCTAGGGCACAGGGTGTATAGATCCGGACTGTTTTAAAGCTATTGGACAATACCCCTTATCCATCAGAGGTCCCATGAGATGTTCGAAATTGTCTGTCTATCCAAGTGTTCCAGAATTTCAGAACGGTGATTTCATCCTTTAGTAGTTCTGAAAGACGCCTCTGGTCCCTGTGCTTTCTGTTCTGTGCTCCTTGTGAGTGTGGGTCGCTGGTGTTTTCCACTCTGCTTGAAGCCAGCCCCTTGTGATGGACACTCACTACAGGTTAATGGGAGCACACTGGTGACTTCCATGATGTTGCATGGAACTCGTATGGTTTTCATGTGCGCTCCAAGTACAGCTCCACAGGTGTTTTGCTCATCCCCACAGTAACCTCCGGTACAGGGCAGGGATAATCTGCATGGTGTGGCCATGACCTGGTTGGCAGGCAGTTGGAGAGGTAGGTTAAAACACCAGAGTGCCCGCGGCTCAGCCGAGAAAGATTTACCTTGCAGGCCACCGTAGCCCTGGGAGAGTTCAAAGAAGGAACAGGGACACATTTCAGCCATTTTGAGAAACTGGGAATCATTCTGGTTTTGAAACTATTTTCATTTACTTAAATTGGCACATATACCTGTCCTATTTTTATGGATCTTGTTGAATTTTGCAGATGTTTAATATATGGCTTTTTGGTTCATTTCTTTCATCTCTGCTTCCAAACTATAGGCCAGTTTAATAATTTTGCTTCCCCCAGGGTAGGGTTCATCTTTTTGCTTCAGATTCCTTGAGGCATGAGCAGATCAAGCCTGGTAAGAGGTCCCAAGCAATGCCTGAAGAGTGAGCTCCTATACAAGCTGCAAAGTCCTGACCCAGTCCTATGACCTCTCTCAACTCCAGTTGCTTCTGTATTGAGAATGAGAATTGGGCTTATTTCTATGAAACCCTTTTAATCATCCGATTTCCAAGAAGTGAAATTTAAAGTAAAGCACAGAGATCATCTGAACTAGAAATTTGGGCTTAATTAAGCAGATTAACAATTTTTTTCTTGGAAGATTCTCAATCTACTTTTGTTACATGAGGGCTTGGAAAGGTCCATTTGCCTGAGATCACTTTCTTCTGGTGTTCCTGATGTCCAGACAGATCCAAATGCACCAACTAAGAATGGCACTGCCTCCTAGAAAGCCTCAGAGAAATCCAGCTAGCAACCTATTTGGTATGTAAGAAATTGCTTACAATGCATGTAATGTGGATGGAATTATGTTGGATCTGGGTGACAAAATATCTATGAGCAGCCTTAAATACAGGTACTCTTGTAAACTTTATATCCCATTATTAAGGAGCAAAGAATGGGAAATAGTTTTGTGTTGGTCTTGTCATAAAAATACGACTTTCATCAGACTTTCAGATTTTTGTCCTTTTCTATTAATTTTGATGAAATGGGATGATTCCAGATTCATCTGCTATAATTCATGCTCCACTATGTTGGGCATTTTGGTGATAGGGAGGCAAAATGCTATAGACACAGGATTATTTTTTGGAGACAGACAGACTTGGGTTCAACCCATTCTGACTTTAAGCTTGTGCAGGGGACATTGTCTAAAGCCACCCCATGGAGCCACCCCTGAAGGTGAGGTGGGGCAGTCTGAAAGGTGACTGGGTTGCTGACTTTGAACAAGCGACTTTATCTCCCAGACTCTGTTGCCTCACTTGGAGAAAGGGAGCTGGTAAGGCTTCCTTGCCTTGGATGGGACCACAGTAAGCTGAAAGTTCAAGCTCCGGGGCAATGTGGAACTCTGCAAAGGTGGGCGGATGGAGCCCTCGCTTCCAGTGTGGTGTCTTCTGGGTCACTGGGGCAGTAGGAGGCACCTTCCTCAGACACAGGCTCAGGTCAGAGCGCAGCACGGGACTGGTGCTTCACCGGGCACACATACCGGGCACACATAGTCTAGGTCTCGTCCACATGGAGAAGATGCAAAACAGGAAATGCAGAAGAGGTCAGCTGCAAGGGCTGGGAAAGCTGAGCCTCCACGGGCCAGAAGGATAGATAAGAGATGCTGATAGGAAAAGGAGAGACCAGCTGCCCAAGAAGGGGAACCGCAATGAAGAATCCAGCAGCCACTCGACAAAGGCCCTGGGAGCAACAGGTGGCAGAAGACAAGGGGGTTTGCAGGTCTGGCTGGGGAGCACCCAGACCCGGAGCTGTCTATCCTAAGGAGGCCCAGGCAGCAATGGGAGGGGCTTTGCCATGGCAAGGTCAGCCGGCTGCAACCACAGCCAATAATCACAGCATCCCTGCCCCAGGATACCTGGGAGACTCTCAGAGAGTAAAGCTTGCTCTCTGGCCCCTCTCTTCTGATTTCAGGGAGCTTTGTGGTTTCTCTCCACGCCAGCTCAAGCAGCCTGTAGACAGTTTACAGTTTACAGGGATTCGCCACACACCCATGTGTGTTTTCCACTGAAGTCTGTGCTTTTTCTTGGACCCACCCGAATTCCAAAGCATGGCTCACTTGCAGGCCAAGTTCATATTCTTCCTCTTCGTCACACTCGCTCCTCCAAGTAAAACACAGGAGGAAGTCATTTTTCTACTGCTTCAGTGTCATTTTTACAGGCATGCAAGAAGAGCCTCTAAATTAATATTGAAAGAATAATTTCTGGCTAATTTTGCATCGAGAACAATAGTGTTTCAGAGCCAAACCCAGTAGCTAATTCTTTTGCATCTCAGTTTGAGATGATGAGGTGCATGTAATTCTTTCTACTGGTTACCAAAAGCAGCTGCTCAAAGACTTTGTAAGGCGATCACCTTACACCCTGAAATTCAACCTTTCTTTTTGAGATTGGCTTTGCTTTGTTTTTGATTTTGTTTAAAAGCAGAACTGGGTGATCAGGGAATCAGGCTCTTAGGAAGGAAAGGAAAAATGACTTTTGGTCATTTTGAGAGTGCGTGTTCCCTGAAAACCGAGTTAGAAATGAAGTTAGACAACTTCCCCTGACCATCCACGCATAACTGGGGACTCGACCCAGGGTGCACTGTTTCGAGTCTCAGCCTCTCTTCCCAGATTGCTGGAGGGTTGGCTTGTGTTCCTGGGGGACGGTGGGGGGAGGGAGTAGCTGGACAGGACTCTGTAGGAGGGGGACACCTGAGCTGGGTGGGGGAGGAGCCCATGTCCAGTGTCCTGCAGTGTGAGCTGTTTCAAAAGTACGGTGTGCCCGCCCCAGGGCATTTGCCTCTCTGGAATTCACCTGCCGGGATGTGTGCTCCAGCCATCTCCAGCCATCAAAGTCCCTCTTCCCCAGGTCAGGCCGCCTGTCACATTGGAATGACCATCTCCTCTACGTCTTCTCTGACCCACCACTGCCAGGAGCTGTTTGTCACTCCTCCCAGCTCTGTTTCTGCCAGGCCACAGGTACTCTTCTCAGGTATTCGCATCCTCCCACCTGGACAATTCCAAACCGTGCTTTACTCATTTGATTTTCACTAAGAAAATTTAGGCTGTGATTTTTGTTAAACCCCCACCAATATTTTTTGAAACTACTCTAATATAACACTTTTGCCCCCGCCGAAGTTTTTGCATGATCACAGCATGGCATTGGAAAACCAGAAGACTGGCTGGGCAACAGAAACCTTCACGGCACTTAGAAGCCCAGCCAGGTCCTTGCTCTGAAAGCAGCCATCCCCTCCTGCCCCCCGTATTAATGCTATCTGTGTCAGAGCCTGCTTGCATTCGCCAGGCCTCAGATCTTGTGAAAGCAGAAACTTGAAAAGTCTTGCTTTAATCACAGTGGCAATTAGCAAATTTGGACACTGCCTTATCTCCCCCTGCCGCCCCCAGCTTTTTATTGGAAATACATGTAAGAATGAACTTGTGGTTTATTCTGTGTCTCCGAGGCTGAAGCACAGGGCTGGCAAGAATCAGGTGCTCTCCCAGTTCCAGTGAGCGGCTGGGATCTTCTGTCCTTTCCTCAGTGATCACTGGTTTCTGTGAATTTGGGCTTATCCCACAGCTAAGCACACTTTAAGAAGGAAAGGGCTCCTCCTCCACTTGCTACATTTAGAGCAAGACAGGACAAGAAATGCACCACTAACCAGTGAGAACTAGACATTCTTCGGTCTCCGAGGACCTTCCTGTGCCTGCGGTGAGAGCTGGCCAAGAGTCTACCAAGCCCTCCACTCTCTGTTGTCACTGGTGCCTGCAGACACTGCATTGTTTCTTCCCTCCACACACAGCCAGGCTTAGCCTTCTCCCCTTCTCTGATGTATGAGCCAAGGGCTGTACCATTGTCTTAATTACTTTCTTATTGTTAACTCTCAGGGCCTGACACCCACGACTAAGGGAGGAGGAGTTTATTTGGCTCACGATTCAGAAGTTTCAGTCCATAGTGAGCAGGCTTATACACAGAATTGTCACCGTGGAAGGGTCTGGCAGAGGAAAGCTCTCACGTCATGCTGAATAGGAAGCAGAGAGCAAAGGGAGGAGCCAGGGAGAGAGATGCTATCTTCCAGGCCACACCCTCAGTGGTCTACCTCTTCCAACCAGGGTCCACTAACAGCAAGGCAGCTATAGTGTCCCCGTGGTCCAATCCTCTTTCAAAACCCCATATGAGCACATGAGGCCTTTGGGGGATATTTTCAATATAAACCAGAATGACTACTAACCATGTCATCCACGGAAACATGTCATGGTGCTTGCTGCTGGTCAGCTGACTCTGTGGTCTCCCACCTGCCTCCCTGAGCGTCCGGTCTCTTTCTGCTTAGATGACTTCTCTCCCTCCCCCTCGGGAAATATGTTCCCCTTGATCTTGGTTGTCCTCCTCTCCTCTTGACATCCTCTCTCTGCACCCTCTCCCTTACCTCTGGGCCACTCCCAGGCCCATCACGTCATGTGTTGCTCACATCTTTTCAGAGATCTGTGGCTCCAACACTCTGGGGATATTTCTCCCAGAAAACTGCTCAGAACGTAATGGTTCAAAACTGAACTCCTGTTATCTTCTCTAAATTTGATTGCTTGTGAGTTTTGGTTCTTACCAAGGGCATCATCATCGTCCAGCTCTGTCTTTAAACCTGTTTCCTCCACCAGCTGACCTGCAACGAGCCCACAGTCTGTTTCTGCTGAATGCACCTTGTCCTCCACCCCTTCCCAAGGCCACTGCCCTCATCCAGGTCATCATTCCTTTCTCCAGACTTCTCAGTGTTGCATTCAGACTAGTTACTCAGCACCACTGCAGGCCAGTGTTTCTAAAGTGTACCTCAGAGCCCAAATCAGGAGCTGCAGGGACTCTTGGCTGCCTGCCAAACTGAAAGACAAGTGGTCCTTTCCAACCAGCCTCCCCTGAGTCTCCCCTTCCCTGGCAGAACACTGAAGTTATGACTTCTGGAGACCAATGACTTCCTCCAAGAGCGATGTCTCATCTTCTAAAACCTGTAACTACGAGGCAGTTACTCTCTGCGCCTTGTCATCTCCAAAGAGGTCAGGAGAAAGCCCATCTGTGCGGGAACTGGGGGTGCCCACGAGGGCCTCTGGTCCGGCCCTGTGCTGGGCTCAGCACTGTCAGCTCCACGTCCTACTGATACAGACTCATTGGGGCCACCACTGTCCTTTTCCTTCCCACCTACGCACTCAGCCCCAGGCACACGGCCTGCAGGCTCCCAGCACTGTTTTTCTGGGACTCCCGTCATTCTCCTGGGCTCCTGGCTGTCTCCTGCCCACCGTCATTCCAGTCTTCTTTGCTCCCTAAGCTCATCTAAAATGCGCCAGTGCCTTTGACAACCACATCCCAGGCTCTGGCCTTTCCCTTTCTGGTGTCCCTGGTCCTTTGGTGAGGTCTCTAGTGCAGTTCTCCCAACACATTCTCTTGGGCCCTGGAGACATTCTCAGGCTTTGAGAATTTTTGTACTATTTTCCACTTCCACTCCTACCCACAGCTCTCCCCAACAGCAGCCTGGAACCTCTTTGCACCAGGAGGAAGCCTTATCCATATTTATCTTCTGAGAAGATCTAAGACTGCCCAACCCCCTGCAGAGCTGGCCCTGGGCTAGGACCTAAACCCTGGGTCAGAACCTAAGTATGCACAGTGTTAAAGGGAGTCGACTTAAAAACCCATTAAATATGTACAGTATTTCTACCAACTTCCGGCTCGCAAGTCCAAACTTTTTCAAATACTGAAAATTAAAGTGCCATACAGAAAGCATAGTTTAGGGAACATACCCAGGATATTGCATGAGACAAGCAGACATCCATAATTGTAAAACTCATGTTAAACACATACACTCTCATATAGCCCAGACTCTGCAGGGCCAGAGACCAGCAGGCCCACTCCCAATCAGAGCAAAATGTATTTGTTTGGAATTGCAGAAAAGTGGCTCTTATATGCTTCACACTTAAAGCAGTTCATCTTTAAAATGGAGAAATCTAGGAAATTCTCTTCTCTTTGAAAAACACCCAGAGCTAAATGCTTTGATGCTGTGGGTACGCTAACACCACCCATGTCTAAACATGGTGCTTGGAGGGAAACCAAGAGGGAATTAATTCTGTTGTCTCCTGGATTTGGTGACCCCTGGATCAAATCACCCCCTATAATCCAGACTCATATGAAATTCTTCCTTTCCCTTTTTTTCCTGGGTTCTCCTGCAGGATCAAGCTTTCAGCACATTTCCATCCCGAATCCTGCCAGCTCTATGTTACTTTTCTGCTTTGTTTAAAGTCTCTTCAGTTCCTTCTTGCAAAATTCTCTGCACATTTGCTGTTTGCTTCTATGAGTTTAGCACAACTTCTTTTTCATAGTCACGCAATGTCTTTATTTCTCAATAATGAACGGTGCTCTCCTCCTTACGACCCCTACTCACACTCCTCACAGTCAGCCTATCACTTCACAAAGTCCTACATGGAGGAAAACACACTGGCTCCTGGTTTCCAGATACACCTATTTTCAGAGACCTTCAGTCAAAATTGGTCTGTGCTATGTTTCCAGGATGGGGTCAATGTGAGTTTTCTGCGCAATCAAAGATGTAATTATAGCAGAAATTCATGCCCATGCCCGTGGACCTGATAAATATCATCTGAAGGATTCCTTACATTCAACACTGGGAGTGCCAAGGAAGAATCTGGTAAAATCTCCACTGCCCATCGTCTGCAGCTGGGCAGGGGAAGAGACCAGTCAACAGGCCATCGTCAAGTTGAGCCAAGTGGGACAAGTTGCCTGCACCCAGGCCTGGGGAGGGGCTTTCCAGAGGGCTCCTAGTTCAGGTTGGAGGGTCCCATTGGAGCTGGACCTGAATCTGCACCCCTGCGGAAGGTTCATGACCTGCTTAAGGATGGTTAAATCATACATGGAGTGTAAAAAAAAACAACCGAAATTTTAAAAAAGACCAGTAGAGGAGAATAGACGTTGTTTTTCAAAAAGAGTTTTACAATATGCTGTATGTAGAGGTGGGCTCCATGCATGTCCTGTTGATCCCTAGGCTGGAGTATAAAGCATGTAAAACCTACATTTAATTTTGAAGTCATAAACAAGATTTGGCTATGGCGGGCCTGGGTATATTTCATGGTGGCTTATAAAAATAGATGAGAGTTACATAATCATGGTTTAATCAAACGACTTCTTAGAAATTTGCTCTCATTTTCTTTCTATGCACTGTTCACGCAGGTTGTATTTGCGTGTCTTTTAGAGTCATTTAGATATCTTTAGGAATACAGTGAATATAAAGAACCAATGAAATATGAAGTAATGTTCTCTGGTGCTCATTGTAAGTGGCCACCTTGAAATCAGAGGGCTGGCCAGGCACTTGGGAGGATGGCTTGGGTTCTAAGTTTAGAGACCAGCAGAACATGAACACCACACAATATTTCCTTGATCACATGACACACTGCCATCCCACAGCGATGACAGTTAACCAAAGATCCCAGCGGAATGTTGTGAAAATTAGTCAAAGGAACAAGTAACAGCCTAGGGGTGGGAAGAGGTGGGGGCCAGTCCTGTGGCCCCAAGTGGATGTGCAAGCCGGATTCAAAGTTAAAGAAAATCTTTGCTGTAGGATTCTTGTGGTTGATAAGGTATTCACGATGCCTGTGATGCGTCAGGAGAAGACTCTGGCTTGGAAGGAATTCAGGGACGTGTCTGAGTGTGGGCTTCTGACTTCTCACAAGACTGGACTCACAGGGACCCAGCTAGGACTCACTGCTGATGGCCTCCCAGGGCTGCTATGTTGTGACAGTGGATCGATCACGTTTTAAGATCTTCCCTCTGAAACCTTCCCTCTGGCTCAGGGAATCATTCCTGGCCCAGCCGTGGAGACAGAAAGAACAGGGCCAGCACTAGAGAGGTCCCCCCCTGCTCCCAGGAGACTGAGGCTTCTGTCCTCAGGGGCCAGGAGCTGGAAACCCCAAGGGCTTCTTGCTCAGACTGTCATCACTTTCGTGCTGGCAGGAATCAAGTCCTAC